AATAATTATGATAAACGATGAATGAGAAAACTAAACAAATAATTACGATAAACAATGTATAAGATCACGCGATTTAATTATAATAAACAACGAACGAGAAAACTAATGATGAATTAAAATAAACAATGTACAGTATCACAACGGCACTGCCGTCAACATGTCTCGAGGCACAGGCTGCGGTCCACGCTCATTGTGCATATACAGGTGTCGGCTGGACGTCAGATAATTGAAGGATTAGCGGCAGTATGATTAAGTAAATGTACCGTTACCCTGTTGTAACTGCATTATCATATGGTGTGCAAAACTATATTTCGGCATGGCAACATTAAGCGGAAATCACATAGCGGATTCTCGACCAACTTTAAAGATATTCAAACTTGAATACGTCGTGATTGTTAATTTTGTTATTAATCAAACATTATGATAACAAGGATTCAACTGTTTTTTTAAATTTTAAAATGACAGAAGAGTTCCTCACGTATTGATATTTTGTAAAATTAACGTAGCCGACTACAGTATGGTGGACTATGTCAAAACGACAGGTACGTTTTACATGCATTTTTTTTTTTTTTTAATACCGGTGTCTATATGTTTTCATTGTTTAGCTATTTTAAATGTTTTTAAATGCTGTCATCTTGATTAAACTTCCGTTTTCATCTACTTTCCGCGACATTTGCAGTGCTCATATATATACTGTCTGTTGTCCCCCCTGATAAAAATGACGATGTCAGGGTTCGTCGAATATCATGTATTCCTCGAAGTATTGACCTTGGACCCTACGAGTTCAAGTTAGCGGGGTTTTACTGTATAACAGTACTAATGATTTATTCTAATAAACAATCTACGAGAAAATAAAAAATAATAATGATTAACAATGATGACCGATGTGTCTCTTACCCTCGGCTGTAACATAGTCACAACGGTCACCGCTATAACCGGTTAGGCAATCACATTCAAAATGGTAGGTTCCATCTGTTGACTCAACGTCACTGCACGTTCCTCCGTTTTGACAGGGGTGATCCAGACATTCTGGAGTGTAAGATAAAACACGCAGAGAGGTAATGACTACAGTACGGACAATATAATTTGTCATTTATTCGAGGCGATTCGCCTCTTTATCTAGACATAAATATGAAGAAATGTTCAAACAGAGATGTGCTCTCTACAACCGTAGTATTAAAAACTTTTTTTTATAAATCAAATCATATTGTATTAAAACATCCTAAGTCTCCATAAATACATTCTATTGTTGTTAAACTTAATCCTGTGAGCGAAACTATTCATACCTTTCCTGTATTAGGATATGGTTGTTCAATAACCCTTACCCTAACCCTAACCCTAAAGGTAAAACATGTATTTGTAAAAGTAACTTCGATTGAATGGACATTGCTCTATTCTCCCGTTAGCACTGTAATAAAGACAACATCTGTTAATGCTCCTCCACATGAGTGGCTGGAGCGTTAATTGTTAGCTTTTCCCCGCTGTCCATCCGTATCATTGGTCAGACTTTGTTTTTAGTTACATTTCCAACAAAACGGGAACGCGATAAGTAATATTTTACACACATTTTCATGAAAACTTATAATTCTATCTCCTAATCGATCAAACTAGTAAAAATGCAATATAAAGGAAAAGTAACATGGACAGAAATGTACAAGTCGTTTTTTCTAGGTTTAAAGTGTAACATCTTTTAAACCAGCAAGGTAACTAAAACACATATCCTGTACAACAGTATATAAATGATATATACGTATATACTACGTGTATGTAAGTGATTTGGGGGGAAGTTATATCTCAAGTAAAATGTAAAACGGTCACTACTTATCTATTCAAATACCAAAATTTCTCAAAAGAGTTTTTGCTTTCTCCAGTTTTAATATGTCATTTAAATAAGCAAAATTGATAATTGTATTGTGTCAGGATGTACCATTACTCACATCAATATCCAAACAATGTCGGATTTGAAATAATTGAAATATACCTGATTCAATTGCCGTCGCTTTCAACATGAATCCCCTGGAAGGTGAACCAGCCCGCAAAGTGTTCAGATTCAGCATCGCCATATTAGACTCGGAGTTGATTGAGGTGAAGTATGTAAGGTTCGTAGAAACACCGCATTCTCTAGAATAATAAACAGTGTATCACAGCAAGCACTGCAACAGTAATAGGACAAATAAAGACGAATGAATGAATACAGTTCAATTGATAAATAAAATACATTTAAAATTCAAAAGAAAACGTTTGTGTCCGCCCTGTCGTTGCAATCCATGTGTTTTGGCCATATTCTTTATTTACATTTGAACTGTATCTTGAGATGGATATTCAACTGATGTAAGCATTTATGAAAGCAAGCGTTGCATTAACAATGAGATTTAGATGAAGTACATGTATTCCCCTTTTTTAATATGTTTTAGATGAAATGCTGCATGTTTTTCAATAGGTGCTAGATGTAGTATTTGTTTCTTTTTAATGTTTTCAAGGAAGTTTCAAAAAAAAAATGTTTAAGATGAGATCTTCGTTTATTTTCAGTATTTTTAAGATGGCGTCTTGGTTTCTTTTCAATATGTTTACGATGGCGTCTTCGTTTCTTTTCAATATGTTTTAGATGGCGTCTTTGTTTCTTTTCAACATGTTTTAGATTGCGTCTTTGTTTCTTTTCGAGATGTTTAAGGTGAAGTAGTTGTTTCTTTTAAATTTGGTTTAGATGAAGTCTTGGTTTCTTTTCAGTATGTTTGGGACGGCGTCCTGTCGTTTTGTGTCTGGGAACCATGTTTGAACTCGTAAAATGTGTGGCATTGTGTAGCCAACTGTTAATCATTTGCCGTTGCATTATGTTTTTATTAGGGTTAGGGTTAGGGTTAGGGTTATATTTAATAACCTACTCTGGCCCTGCCTGTCCCATCAGGTTAACTATCACCTCTATAAAGTGTACACAGGTAGTTATTTCAGCATCCGATACAGTTATCTCCATGTCCACAAATTCTAACTTTATTCTTGTTCCGGGCGGCGACTGAAAAACAGAAAAAAATGGCGTCAACATACTTGTCACTCTAATACAGAAATATTTGTTCCTCAAACAAACATATTTGGTATGACATACTATCTCGAGAGACTGAAATAGGCGGTCAAAATATACAATAACTTACCGTAAACTGGTATATGCATTCTCGATCAAGTTCATAAAATCCCTGATCGTAACCGTTCGATTTAACTATTTTGGGTTGATATTTCTGAAGGATTGTGTGTGAACCGCATTCGCCTGAATGGAAAGACACATAAAACACGAATTATGATGAGCAAAACAGTGCCCTGAAAGTGGTGTAGTTGAGTTCACAAGATCATAAATATATGTGAAAATGTTCTACATTTGATATAGCGTCCTATCTAGGTAACATAAGCCATTATAAAGCGCTTTACACTACATAGATATACAATTAATACAATTAGCATATACATTAATCTGTACCATATTTTGAGGAATTCGCAGGAGCTGCCTTATCAGGAGCTAACTACTAGTCCTATGCCACCTGGCTGATATCTTCCTATGTGTGTATGCCTGCGTGTGTGTTGGAGATGTAATGTGTTCTGTTTGTAGTGGGAACGTGCTTCAAACGGCATCATTTACAGTGCCACCTCACTTGAATGCTACATCACAGATACCGCAACATCCACCCCTGGGCAATGTATACTCCAACTGGGTTGTTAGAGTTGTGTGGGAGGGAGAAAAACACTTCCTTGAATATCCATGCTTACGACGACTTCGGGATCGAACTCCGGCCGCCTGCGTAGAAGGCCGGCGTGTTAATCACTCGACCAATCCGCTCTATATAGTATGTTCTATGTACATGATGACACTAGGTATGCGCTACATCCCCCGAGGGTCGAGCCCGGGCTGTGATATCAACTATACATGATCCTGTAGCTGATGGATTTATGGTTCTTGGGTAATACAGTGGATAATGCACTCGCCTTTCACCAAGGCGGCCGGGGTTCGATTCCACGAACGAACATGGAAAGGTATGAGGTCACCTGATTTCCTTCCACATTAAGACCCCCTAACCGCTAACATTTTGGCCAACAAGCGTGATTAATATAATTTGAAACAACTTGTTTTATAAGTTTTGGAAAAATGAATACACTTTATAGTACGTTGTATAAACAGAAGTTCGACTAAATAACTTGAGCTTCCGACTTATTCGAAATTTTGACATACTTTCTAGAAATATTTACTTATTTATATTAAAAACGATTTCTTTCTGTTTCCCAAACGCTCTTCTTCATCCCCCCCCCCCCCGATATTTTATGTTTTGTCGTCAGCCTAGTTGTTGACGTCATGACCCTTCATTTCCCGCCAAATACATTCCATTCATTAATGTGATTAACGTTATAAAATTACATTGTATGGGCCGCACCGTAGATGAGGTGGATTGGTTCGAAATTTGAACTCTTATTGAAACATTCGATGAACTCGAGGATTTAACGTCAACACAGACAATTAAAACTGATAAAAAAGTGACGACAACGAAAATGTGGACTACCATGTAAATTATGTAATGGTTGATATCAGAATTAGTTAAATGATATGCTAGGTTACCGGAAAAGCACTAATATGACCAAGTTTTCTTAAAGGATAAGCGTCTTTTGTCTTATCGTCGACACCCGCAATGTTAAATCCACTAATGCTACGTCCTCATAGTGAGAACCGCGGCAGTTTAAACTAAACAACATGACACACAAAAGTGAGTTGAAACATCATAAAATAAAACTGATATTAAAAAGAAATCGTCTGCGATATGAGAAGTGGAAGGCGGCAATAACATTGCCCGTATCCTTGACCATATTTGTTTTGTTCTTACTGATCAGTTTGATTTTATTTCCATTTAACTTTATGATTTGCTAGCCCCTCCCCTAAATACACATGGAATGAAACATACCTTCGTTTTGCCTCTCTGTACATTGATCACCAAAAAAGTGTTTTGGACAGACACAGTGACAGTGGGGGTTCTCCACCGTTTTTGTCACGAAGCCACCGTTTTGACAGTTATCAGTACAACCTGTAACAATAAATGCATGCATTTTGTCACGTCCTGTATGACAAATATAGTTTGATGATATCTTATTGTGATTAAGTTAAGGGATGGTACAAGGTGGGGCTGATTGTGCATCCCCTCCATCATTTATCCCTTTGAATGTTTATTTTTCTGCCTTTGCTGACTGAAATATCAAATTTGTTTAAAAAAACACAGTAGAATAAACGGAATGGAACCTACCGGTATATGGTTGGATAAATACTCTTTCTTCCCCCCCCCCTTTTTTTTTTTTTTTTTAATAACAATCAGATAAAAACTGTGACCAAGCTCACAAAGATATACCCCTCGTTTGTGATTACGAGGTTTATGGAGGTGAGATTAAAGTTCAAGGGCCACAACTCCAGGAAAAGGAGACATACGCAAATTCCTTTCTACATGCACATATGCATTCGAAATTTGTTTCATTCTTTCTAAAGCAGAAAGTTTCAAAGGCCACAAGTCTAGGTGAATAGAAGGATCACAAATTCCTTCCTTCATGCACATCTACTTTCATTATGTCAAGTTACAAAAAACAAAAACTAGGTTCAGGAGGACTTCCGCTTACAATCCGTTTATTAGGTAATGGAAAGCCATGTAAGGGTAAGTTTAGCTAAATCAGTCTGCCACCGTATGGAAACATTTCGATAACATGTAATATCCCATGGTAAAGGAGTTTGTTTTCATATTATAGAGAAAGAAAGTAATGGTGCAATGCCTTTATAAAAACCACTATAAGTAATATATCCACTGTGTTTTTTTTTAAATAATGATAATTGTCCTTTATGTAAACAGGTATAAAATGACACGTATATTGTACACCCTAATATCGCAATATCACTTTCAACTCTGTGGTAGGGGAAGTTGATAGGTTTAAAGGTGTATTCTGTTTCAATTCACTATGTTACCTCAACCCCAAATCGAACTAGTGCTCATGTGCCACACCAAAAATTACATCTCTAGACAATAAACAATGTAATAATGAGCTGACTTGTTTCTGATAGATATATGTAATACAAACAAACGGCACAGGTAAATAACCATTCTCAGGTAGAATTTGAAAGCTGCATTATTGTGATTTCTTATTGTATAGGAAAACTGCCAATGTCGCAATTTAAGTAAAAGAAAAAATCCATTAACGGCGTGTTTTACTTGTATGATATACGATGTCAGACATCAATGAATATATATATATATAAACTAGTTATACTGTCATAATGACTTATGTAAAAGTGTTGTTGTGATAATGATGTAAATGTCAGATGGTACGTATGTATTGATGAACAAGTTGTACTGTCACAATGATCTAGGTTGCAGCCGGTAAGCTGAATTAATGAAAAAGTGTGCTGTAACAAAGGTTTGAATGGCAAGCTGTTCCATATGTAGTTACGGAAACGCTACGCTGTCACAATGACTTCAATGTACACTGTAACTAGTTTGGTTGATACATAACTTCGAAGGTCGTATGTACATGTAAATTCATTAAGTAGTTGTGCTGCCACATTGAGACTGGATTAGATTGTGAAAGGCGACATGTTTGTTAGCAAAATTTACGTTGTAGGAAAACTAAAAAAAATGGATTATTGATAAGAACACTTCAAAATCAGCCGTATTTTACTCTTAGTAGGAGCTATACTAAAGGCACACTGTCATGATTATTGTCAGGTGTTAGATTATGTTTTACATTTGTAAGTAAGTAAGGCAATTTAATCAACACAACTAATAATTGTTTGTTTAGGGTATAACGTCCTCGTGACAGCCAGGGTCATTTAAGGACTGGTGCCTAGGGATTGCCCACAGGAAAGGGAACGTAAAAACAGAGAAAGAAGACAGGTTAAAAACGGAATACAAAAACTCAAGTGTTGCAATGGTGGAGGCACAACAACGTTGATCAGTTTTATGTCCTTAGTAGGAGACGACGAGGAAACCCCCCAATCATGTAGGACCCCACAATGATCGTGTTTACGATACACACGCTATGGAATACAGCAAGTATGTTATTGGCTTATGCAGTATCCACTAAACTGTGGACAGGACGAAAACAACCCCGACTCTGCAGGAGGTTGACGCATTAGTCGCCTGTTCGATCATTCAGTGGGATATAGGCTTGGTAGACCTAAGTAGTCATCGGGACTTGATCTGCATGACTCACTGGTGCTAAACATGTATATCTTATTATGGTAACATGATAATTAAGGTCAATGCGATTCTCAAAATATCATTTGATATCGCGTCCTATCTAGCTGGAGTTAGCCACTCTAAAGCACTGTACAGTACATAGATTTACGATTTATGCACTCAATACAATTAACATATAAATAAAATAATACATTAATCAATATAATTCTTTATCTATATATATTTACCTTCATTGCAGTGGTATGCTTCAGTGATAGATTTAATGTCGTAATGGGTAAGTTGATGGACCAGTTCATACAGTAGAAAATCAAGCCTCAAGTTTTTCGCACTCATAGTTTTGTTTCCGTACAAACCCTCAGTAACACATTCCCGGAATAGCTGTAAATAAAGCATTAAATGTGACACATTCCCGGAATAGTTGTAAATAAAGCATTAAATGTGACACATTCCCGGAATAGCTGTAAGTAAAGCGTTAGATGTGACACATTCCCAGAATAGCTGTAAATAAAGCATTAGATGTGACACATTCCCAGAATAGCTGTAAATAAAGCATTAAATGTGACACATTCCCGGAATAGCTGTAAATAAAGCATTAAATGTGACACATTCCCGGAATAGTTGTAAATAAAGCATTAAATGTGACACATTCACGGAATAGCTGTAAATAAAGCAGTAAATATTAAGTGAGTTGAAGAGACAATTGGAGAGATCTTTTTACGGTGTCTACTGGTTTAAAAATGTACAGCGCTAATGAATAATGCGCAAGAGTGAAAATCTACATCATCATGTGACATAGGTTGTTTTACACATGCTACTGCTTGTTTTGCCTAGACAATATCCTTGACCAACCAATACTCGCCCGGCGCGCACCATTCCTGCCTGGCACGCGCAATTATCTGCCGGGCAAGCACCGGCACCAGATCCGTTTTATTCAGTTTCTTTTCAGAAAAATAAAACATTAAAGTGGTAGTGTACAAATGAGTGTGCATATCCATATTTATTTGCTATTCTGCTTTATTTAAGTTAGGATGTATTAACAGTTATATACATTTTCTAGGTGATACGGAGTAGGATATGAAAATGGTCATATGATAACCTCTAAATATAATATCATAAAAATTTCTTTATTACAAATAATTTCATCATTCATTTAGCCTCGTGATACAGCTCATGTTTTTTCATACATCTATAAACTCACGACACTGCAGAGAATAAATGATTTACATGAAATCTGTTTAAGTAACAACAATAATATTGGAGCTGCTTTAGATTAATACTGGGATACATTTTCTCCAGGTTGGTAAGTTTGAGTTAAGAAAGGTTTTTGTCACATAACCTATACGTGTCTCTATGTGACGTTTCGATGACTAGTACGGTATGTACACTGTCACCTTCATCAGACAAATGACCAGTGAAGCGTATGCACACGAAGGTGTAAAATGTGGACGAGTTGTCAACAAATCGATTCGGTTTCGCTGTAAGCGTATGTTATATATGTACCGAAATGACCCGATTCAAATACGTTTTCTTATTACTTGGTCATAGATGTGCGAGAGTCTATAATCCCCCTCATATCGATATCGATAACTGGCCCACTGCGAAACATTTATTGGTTGTGTAACAAGAAACTTTTCACAAAACCTACGTTAGGGTTATATTGCATCATAGATGCCAGGTCATATTCCGAATCCTCGTCAGCAGACAAAGAAAGCATGTAGTTCTGTCTAGCTCCTTTGCTGATACAGTTCCAGTCCACATGTATGTTGTTGTACCTGTCCTCACGAGACTGCTCGTGGTCGGCACCCATCACGTGCATCATCTCGTGCACCACGACATAGTACTAAATGAAATGAATCATGCATTGACTTGATGAAAACATTTTGAGGAGAACCATTTAGGCTGATAGAATATACGTGTTTCCTATTTTCCTACCAACATGGACAAAATTCTTTCTAGAACATTGTAGAGTGAAAACTAGTCTAACCAAATCCGTTTCACAAAATAAACGAATTCAGATAATGACGCTTTAACGAGTATATTTATATTTTGTTAAAATAACATTTAACTTAAATTTCATACAATTATTCAATAAATTATTGATGATGTTAACGATAGAGACATGACTTTTATTGGAAATGTCTTTTTACTTCTTACCTTGCTGTCATCAAAATCACTAAAGTGTAGCATATACGTATTGTATGTAGTGAAATATAACGTTATATTACGTTAAAATATTTACACATTATGCAACCTAATCATTAAATTATCAAATTTCCTAAAATTATCAACATTACAAAAGTTGCATATAGAGAGAGTATTTATTTATCGACTTACAATGACCTAAAGATACTGCTAATCTGTGTGGATCATACATACCGCTCTACAATTGTTGCCTATCTCGTACAAATATAACGGAGAAATCTCTTGGGATCGCATGCCAAGGTATGCAGCGCATCTGTTAACACATGTATGAGAGTTGAGAGGTCATATACCATACTCTTACACAAGCATATACATAACACATGACACGTTTACGATACTCCAGGGGTTACGCTCACTTCGCTAACTGCATCCCTGGAATATGTCATAGAAAAATTGCAGAACCAGTGTGCACAACCCTGTGGATGAGAAGACGAGTTTGATCCTTTGATGTCCATCAAAAAGCGATACCTGTCCTTTGAATATTACAGAGGAGCGACACCCGACTTCTAAGCCATTCAATTTTACCGTTACGCGACCGATCGATTCTTCGCGATTGGTCTGTTCTTTTTTACCCGAGACCAAACAAATAGCTAGCCGCGTGTCTTCAATTTTGCTATGGCATATTCCAGTTGTTGGTGAGAGTGACAGCGTAACTGTACTACACGGTACGGCACCAATACATACATAAATGTTCGATACTCCATTCTAATTCAAACCATTTATATTATACGTCAATTAGAAAAATAATGATGGTTCTCTTGCTGTCACCCTATTATTGACCCCCCTTCTGACCCACACTCAAACTTACTGCTCCAGGCTTTGTTCTGTTATGTCAAAACATAAAAAATGAAGTAAATTATAACAAAACTACATTGTCATAGTCATAAGTTTTTGAACTCTTCTGCTCTACCCTAAATATTATTACCAAGGACCAACGAATTTTCACATTAATCTATTAGAAAGTAAATATTTGAAAACAAAATGCGATAATTAATTTCAAATTGAACAAATAAACTAGATGTTAATTGGTAAAAAAGGTCAATATTACCATTGGCTTAACAAAACCTTTCTATACTGGCTTCAAAAATACGTACATTGCCTTTTCCTTTCCAAGAAATTCCACGTGATGGGGTTGGTTTGTATAGGGTACCCACCGAACACACGTTTTCTTCTCAAACATGGCGACTGCTGCGTCAATCCACACTTTGAATTTCACTACAAGGTACACGGGGGCAATTAACGACAAATAAATTGCATGTATGATAACACATCCGCTTTAGTCAGGGCAATGGCTTCACTGGGGTGTTTCTCACATATAAATCCATCCTCGATACTCAAGGGTTTACGGTCACTTACGCTCTTTTTCACCCCTGGAATATGACATAGCAATATTGAAGGTTCAGTGTGTGTCACCCTGTGACTAGAAAACTAGTTTGATCTTTCGATGAATATCAAACGCATCTCGCGGGCGCGTAACGTTAAAATTGACTGTCTTTGAAGTCGGGTGTCTCTTCAATGTAACCGTCAAAGGAAAGGTATTATCCTAGCGTTTTTTTTTACAGGAGACCAATCAAATAGCTAGCCGCGTGCCTTCCATTTTGCTATGACATATTCCAGGGATACAGAGAGCGAAAGTGATCCTAACCCCTGGAGTATCGAGTACGATACAACGGTCATGGTAAGTGAGAGAATGTGAGATATGCCGTGAAGCTCGTACTTGCAGACAATGGCAACCATAATAATTATAAGTGCTTTTTGGTTTGTTTGTGTTTAACGTCCTATTAACAACTATGGTCATTTAAGGACATGCAAGGTTACGGTGCTGGAGGAAAGCCGGAGATAAACCACAGACATGCGGTCAGTACCTTGCGACTGCCTCACGTAGGTACCGAACCCAGTACATTTTGGTACAATAAAGTAATGATGGGGGAATTATTATAACTAGTTAGTAGAATCTGAATTAGTGATTTTGTAGACTTCTTTCTATCCTCACTGAGATACATGTAGCCCTGTAAAGTCGACATCAGATTCGCGCTATCACAAACAGGCAAGTACACCAGCATACCCTGTCTCCGGTACACCTACACGCAAGCACGCATACACTACACACATGGAGGCACGTCCTTAAATGACCTTAGCTGTTAATAGGACGTTAAACTAAATAAAACCAAACCAAACTATCCTCACTATTTTATAGAAAGCCTCAGTTAACTTACTGCGGTATAATATTATTTAGGAAGCGTTATTTTAACTATTTTCAACTATCACATGATAAAACCAACCAGCGTGATCTAATTGAAAAGCGAACATTTGAGTCTTAATATAGTGGCCATGATAAATATAGTATACATATAGTTCCGGTTTCCGATGAAAGTCTGAATCATTCTTAGCCGCGAGGCTACAACAAAATATTAAGTATTAAACAAAGAGTAGCTGAATCGAGTCATTTCGGTACATATATAGTAACTAATGGACAAACGCTTACAGCGTAGCCGAATAGACTTCGATTTGTGGACAACTCGTCCACATTTTACACCTTTGTGTGCATACGCGTCACTAGATAACAGAGTACATACCGTATTAGTCATCAAAACGTCACATAGAAACACTTATTGGTTGTGTAACAAGAAACATTTCATAATCCATACTTACCAACCCGAAGAAAATGTTTGGAAAGATATTTCTATTTTATCTTAAAATATTTTTACTGGCTAACAACGGCAGGTCAGTGTATTTGTGCATGACATGGCTTAATGCCACAGAGACGGTATGTCCTGTTCAATCAGTCCTTATGTAAATATCCTTATCCTTCACTATACATGTAACTTACTATAATTTTGAACTTATGTCGTCAATGGCATTATATATTGAAAAAAACTATGTTTTGCAATTGGAATGATGAAATCAGTATGATATATAATAAAATGTATACATTTGAACAGTGTTTGGTAAATGATAGTATTAACCCCTGTTATTGCTCATATATGAATGGTCAATATCTTACCATCGGTCATGTTGGCTGCGGTATACGGGATAACGCCTGAAGGCCACGTCCTTGAATACCCCTCACTAAAAGAGGCTCGCTTTACCCTGTAACCCTGAAAGGTCAGAGAGAATGTATTAAATTTGTACATGAAGTCAGTTACAAGTAGAGCATATCCTGCCTTCTTCTATAAGGTAAACCATGAAAGGCAATTGAGGGAACACGAATGTAAAATTTAAGGCAGACGATTCTCCTCCATGACATTTCATGTAGTACCTACTGAAGACTTAACAGTAAACACAGAATATTTTAGGGATGCAGATATTGTCTTCAGAAAAAATAATGTATACTATAACTCGTTTATCGTCCAAAATAATATAACATGTCTGACGTCAGAAATCAGTCCTAAAAAACGTCTAGAGACACAAGAAAGAATTCGTGCTAAACTGTACAATCTTACTCTAAGGTTGAGATTTGAGGCGTTGGCAGGTAATTTATGTTCAATTTTCAATTTCAACAGATTTCCTTGACTTTATAAATGTCAGTTGGATTTAGACACCAGGCTAGGCCTATTTAAGACCTTTCCAAACTTATTTACAAACATTACATATATTCTGTCATAACAATTCGAATACACAGTGTACTAAGCTTGAGAAATATCTATTTTTCTACTATTAACCAATCATCATTTTCTGTTAATGTTTTGGAAATTAATAATGATATAAATGACCTATATTTGTTGACAAGCCATTCTAAATAAAGTCCAAGGGATACAGGGCCTTTATGCTAAACTAATCCTGCTTATTGCGGAAGCTAAGCTAATTCGCCTGTTACGGAAACGTAAATGAAACTCTTATTATTATCAAATTGTTGTAACAAAGGTCACTTGATCTTTGTGGTTTCAGGTTGTTGTAAATTCCCTTTCGCTTTTTGTTTCCTTTTACGAAGATCAGAGCGATATGCCATCTTTCATATTTTAAAATGTATTTCCGAGGGTCGGATGGGGCAGTGGTTAGAGTACTCTCCTTTCACTAAGACGGCGGGGGTTCGATTCCCCAATCGGAGGCACCTGCCCCGGCTAAGTGGATGCTATTAAGACTATCGTGCGCTTACATCCGGGCCAACAACTAACTTGTCAAGTTAAAATGAAATCTTAGTTTTCGTGACTTTTCCTTTTTTTATTAATAAATCTTCAAACATCATTATTTTGATCATAAGACAAAAATGTTTATTATTTGTTCAATTATTTGTTCACATAATATTTGTTGCAGTTTTGGGGTTGATTTTTTGTCGGTATAATATGAATATTGAGGAGAGGGCTATCTAGGCTATGTCTATTGCTTAGTCCGCTTCATTGTGTTATCAATATAGCATATTAACCCTAGCCCTAGCCCTAACCCTATTGAGGAGAGGGCTATCTAGGCTATGTTTATTGCTTAGTCCGCTTCATTGTGTTATCAATATAACATATTTGAAATGAAAATATAATCTAAACGGAGGTGACTTACCGTCTCCCCAGGGCCGTTTTCAGGGCTGACTTCCGGTAGTGAATCCTAGAAAGACACATTGTTATATAATCAGACCTACAACCCTCATTAACATAATTGATGTCCTACTGTTATTGTACTTTTAAAATGTGTTGAACCTCATCATTTGCAAGAAAACAATATAATGCGGGCTGCAAAGGTATGTCATTCAATTAGATCATAAATGCCATACAAAAACAGGTCTAAACTATTTTTGTAGATTTACAGCCATTAGTAGAGGTATGGATGGAAAGTTAATGTCTTTCAAATTTACAATTTGACTGTAAACACTTAAGTAGAATATTATTCACTTGCAATCCAAATTTTGACCAATAACTTTGACCCTGAGTCAAGTTTAATTTCATTCGTTTTAACATGAGTGTTTGCCCTGTATGACCTTAGATGTCAACATATTGGACTCATCCGACCCATTAGTCTTGAAAGTATGCAGATGGAATTCTTTCTAATAAACATTATAATATTAATAATTATTTTAGCTTAAAACTGGCCAAATATGAACATGATACATTTACTTAGCTCAACTATTGTTTAAGTATCTAAACACATTTGACACCTACAGTGGGTCACAATATCATTTTTGAACAAGCTGGTTAACTCTTCTAAACAGCTCGCTACAGACGAAATATGATGACCTTACATTTTAAGTCACTAGTTTTCTTATGAAAAAATAAAATTATTTAAGGATTTGAATGTTCAGTATTGATATCATCAGAACTAAAATAAATTTTAACAGCGTTTGAAAGCACAAACTTGTGATCAAATAAGTACATGACATGCTTATATATTATAATGTATAGTGCAACACTCAGCATGTACATATTCTTAAGCAGAAATTTAACCATTAGTAAGTCAAAGACTAAATAACTTAACACTATTGCCATGTGTTTAAATATGTCATCCCTAACAGGGTGGTCAGATGGCGCAGTGGAGTGTGCACTCTCCTTCTTAAGACGGTCTGGGTTCGATTCACCAATGAGATGTTAAAATATGATATCACCTATCAACGAATAGGGTTTTCTACTGCTATTGCGGTTTCGTCTCACATCAAAAGTCGACGCGCGTTACCATCTGGGTTAATAATGTTGATTAATATTAATACTATTTTAAAAAAATTTACAGATGTTTATGATAAAAAGTTTAAATTACTTACCAATAAGTCACGCTTATCATTTGAATATGATATAAGATGTCTGTCATGTTCGAATTTGTTGTCTGGAATGTAATTGGGATCCACTTTAAACTGAAACCAAAAATTAAAGTCTTCTCATTACTTGTATTGACGTCAGACATGACACAAGTCCTGTCTAAATTCTTCCCTTTTCCCCTCCTACATTTTGTCCACTATACTATCTATACATTATTATTATTATTATTATTATTACAAACTAACCGGTAATAAGATTTATATATATATTTTAAATGCCGCCGTGACTATTCTCCATAATTATGTTTATTGAAGATTTAATAGAAACTGTGGTTAGGTATACATGTAGCAAACACTAGTGAAAGCAAGCGCTTTCTGTTAAAAAATCACTGGACAAAGTCTTGAGTGTAATCAGCCCAACAGAACTCAAAATATAAGTAGTGCATTTCATAAACTGATTTTCTATTCGTATAGTAACTGTGATAGAGACCTAACCCCCGGGCCTGGAAAGTTATCCCAAGCAGGCACTTTCTTTGAGGAAGCACTCTATAAAGTCAAGAGTGTAATCAGCCCAAGAGAAATCAAGATATTTTGTGCGTTAGTGCATTAAACAGATTTTCTATTTATAGTGACCCATTGACCTTTGACCACTGGACCTGAAAGTTTTCCCAAGCAGACACTTTCTTCCAAAATCTGAGTGTAATCAGTCCAACAGAATTCGGAATACGGTGCACAAACTGATATTCTATTTATAGTAAGTGACCTTGATCTTTGATATCAAAGGCTGAAAAGCTATCTAAAAGCTTAAGCAAACATTTTATTACACTGGATAAAGTCCATGTATGCACACACACACGGTTCTATACTTAAAGTTGATGAGTTGACTTAAATATTCATATGTTTTTTCTGTATGTTATTACCATCTCCATAACATATTAGATGAAGTTGCTAAGTGTTTAAATTGAATCAGTTGATGATTTTCTATAAAAAGCAACAGTGACCTTGGCCTTGACCTTGGAACCCTGAAACACAACAATGTCCAAAGTATACTCATACTTGACCTTTGCATAAAGTTTGACCAAAATCCATGAACCAATGAGTTGCTAAGTGTTTAAATTGAATCAGTTGTTGATTTTCTATATATAGCAACAGTGACCTTGGCCTGACCTTGGAAGCCTGGAACACAAGGGTATACCCATATTTGACCTATGTATAAAGTTTGACCAAAATCCGTGAAAGAATGAAGTTGCTAAGTGTTTAAATTGAATCAGTTGATGATTTTCTATATATAGCAAATGTGACCTTGGCCTTGACCTTGGATCCCTGAAATACAAAGATGTTCGAAGTATACGAAGCGACGGGACGCCGGACGCCGCACCAGGGCAAAAGCTCACTTGTCCTTGGCAGGTGAGCTAAAAACAGATAGAAGGACAGACAGACGTAAAATCTGATTACTAAAGATGTGCAGGGGTCCTTACATCAAATTGTGTAATTGAATTGGAGAATCCCCCTTTGGGACCCCACTCCTCCCCCTAGGGAGCCAGAGTATTATGAGAGAGACCCTCTGTTAAACGGCATTCAGTCTTCTTAACCAAGTAATGCTCCAGACCATTAGTTTGAAAACATCATCAAGCCATACAGAAGGACTTCAAAGGATGTACTGTAGCAGGTGATTTATGTCCTCGCAACAGCCAGGTTCATATGAGGACGGGTGTCACCTATAGAAGAAAACTACAATTCGAAGGAAGTGCATGTGTTGACGGAAAAAATACAGTTACTTATAAGAATTTCCTATGTGCAAAGGGTATAACTCCAGGAAAAATAGAACATGGACACTGGATTCTAACTCAAACTGTAATCCATTATACATGTATACTAAGTTGCAAATAATATGGAAAACAGTTAATTATGAGAATTTCTTATGTGTAAAAGGGCCATAACTGCAGTCAAAAATGTAATTTTAATACATGGTTCAAACTCTGTAATCTATTATGATAAAGCCACAAAGTTTCAAGTTGATATGGCAAGCGGTAGCGAAATAAGTCCAAAAAAAAGTTTATTTTGATAATTTACTATGTGCGAAGGGCCATAACTCCAGCAAAAAAGGAATATTAACACGGGGTTTGAACTCAAACTGTAATCCATTATGACAAAGCCACATATTAGGTCACAAATTGATGTTGCAAGTGGTAGCGACAAAAAAGTCCGAGAAAACCTTAATTATGAGATTTCTTATGTGCAAAGGGCCATAACTCCAGCAACAAATGAAATATTGACACAGGGTTTGGACTCTAACTGTAACCCATTATGATAAAGCCACATACTAAGTGGCAAGCGGTAACGAACAAAGTATGGCAAACAGTTAATTATGAGAACAATTCCAATGTGTGAAGGGTCATACATGTAACTCCAGCAAAAAAATAAAATATTGGCACGTGGTTCGAACTTGATCTGTAATCTATTATGATTAAGCCACATACAAAGTTACAAATTGATATGTTAAATGGTGGCGAAAAAAAGTCTGGAAAACTTAAATGTGACTGCCGCCGCCAACGACAACGTGTGATGACGGACAGACTGATCCTTAGGTGTTCGCCATGCTTCTCAGGCGGCACGACCAAGGAAAGGCAGAACAGTAAAGAAAGAAAGGAAAGATTTAAGATCCCAAGTGTGTTGCAATGGGGGCAGAAGATCTATTTTGGTCTGTTCAATGTCCCCAAGTAGTAGACATGAAAGAAAAGAAATTCCCCAATGCTTCAGAGGGCCAACTTTTAGCCCCCCCCCCATGTATATTGTATGTAAAATATATGGTTTGACAGATTTTGACAGATTCAATGACTCAAGTAGAAAATTGTTTGAGTCATGTAATCTTGAAAAAGAAAGTGAAGGGACATAACTCTTTATGTAGACTCCAGTTTAAGTAATTTGTACTGATCGGACAGATCTGTCAATTCAAGATCTATCCGTACACCAAATTCAAGAAGAATTACACATTATTATATGTTTCGCATGTCTGAAACTGTCTGACATTGTCAGTATGGTAAGTTTTAAGCAAAACTTTAAAACTATCTGAAATTTCTGGATATTTTTTTTCAAAATCAACGGAAAGAAAATCTACATTTTAAAGAAAGTGGTAGCTATGGGAGCACCCTTATATATGTTATTAACATAAAAATATTGGTACTTTGCAAAACAATCAGCAAATTTCGCAAAACCACCAATTCTCAAAAATCACCTAAACATGACATATTTTATCTAAAAGGAAACTCAGGGAGCTTACAGAAGTAACAAACTATATCCGATATATAACAGAAAGGAATGCGAGGAAATCATGTGAGGGACACAACGCACAGAAATATTATCCAAAGGAAGACAATCAATCATCACTGCACAAATACTTAAAGTACATAGCAAGTGTTCCTAGTTTAAAACAGAGAGTATGAGTATTACTTGAAACAAATTTTAAATTATATAAGAAATAATTCTGAAGGACACCATCTAAATGAAAATTAATTGATTGATATAACAGTCGAGATGCATTAAAAATCCTCCCCACACGGAAAGTAAAACAAACATTACAGCAAAATGTTCAAACCTGGCCTGCATGATGTAAAGTTTCACCTTTTGGCCTTTATAACTTTCAGCTTTCTTGGCGAATTGTGTGCATTTTTAAATATCGCCCATTCTCATCAGATGTATATAAAGTGCATAACAAATGGAAAAATAAAAATATGAATGATAAACTGACAGAATAAGATGCATAGGAAAGCAAACAAAGGGGCACAGCTCCTCGAGTTCGTGAGCATCCAGCCCTTACTTTCTTCTATTTTTAGGATGCTTCTACATGTACACCAAAGTCAAATAACTTTGGCTACTTCAGCTTCTGACAGGTCAATGACCCTTGGTGAGACTTATTTAGATGTCAAAGGTCATACCAAAAATACTGCAGTACAATTTTATGTCAACTTATGTATTAGTGGATTTGAACACCGCTGTAAATATGAATGTTAAACCGAAATATTTTAACATTTAAGCGAACACATTTTTTTCTACAATCCTTTTAATAACAGATTTAGGGAATGAAGGGTTTAAATGTTGTTTGTTGATGTTTAGTGGTTAGAAGAGATACATGTATAACATTTTTTTTTAAACACAGTATTCTAAAAGATATGATTAATGTAAATCAGACTCTTTTCGGTTATCAAAATCTTGTGAGGAAACTCCATGTACTGTAGCAGAAAAATGTCAACAAATAATATGAAGTGTAGTGCAGTTGATATAGAAAGTTCAATTCCTGCTATATATTTGTAGTAAAGTTGTCAAAGAATCAGATATTTGGCAGACCTTTCTTACACATATGACTTAAAAGTCGTTGCAAGGATTTATAAAACCCAAAAAACAAATTGATTCCTATCCCTTATACAGAGATTACAGTGTGGAAATATAGATGACCTGAAGGTATTGAAAATAACGTCAGGTAATTCGGGTAAAATGGACTTCCATCATGATTTTACATATTCATAATGTGTTTATACAGCCTCCCTTAAGAAAAACATCTTCCATACATGTTTTCAGCCTGTTTTTGTTGTCATTATCTGTCCAGCCTGTAACATTTCATCTTTGCTAGTCAAGCGTTCATTTTGTATTCACATATTCATGTATTCAACCTTAGCGATTTAGCCTTGTTCTCTAAGCTTTCAAATTATTGAACCTGGCACAGGGACTTGGCACGAATTACCATCCTATGGTCCACATATTTTTTTATATCATACATTATATAATACACATATATGTTAACTGAGGATTAGAAATGAATACCAAGTCCCTGTGCATGTAAATAATAATGGCGGCGCCCAGTACCAAGTTGCCTTGTCGACTATGTCATGATTTATATAAAAAACAAAAGAGGACAATACTGAAACATTTTCTGTATATGATCAGTTGGAAGAGATAATTGGCCATATTCTAAGTGTAAATGATAACCAAGGGAAATACATAGGCGACCAGTGCTGAAATAATCTTGAAAGTTTAAAGTTTTGCTAGTAAAGTGTCTATGCAAGGTGGCAGGGGAGGGAAATTAAACACAAGGCTAAATCTGCCAAGGTTGAATAGTACAAATTTAAATTATGAACCCTTGGCTATT